TCCCGTAGCTTCTGGTCCCGACATCCCCGGTCCCGCGGATCTCGCGGATCCCGCGCCCAATCCCTCTCCCGCACCCACCACCTGCTGTCCCCTGAATCTCTCGGATCCCGTGCCCCCAGCTCTCCCGCTCTCGACAACTGCTGTCCTGTGGATCTCTCGAACCGCGCGCCATCCACTCCCCATGCGCCCACCGATTCCTCCACTCCCCTCCCGCCACCTCGCCAGCCGGATCCACCCTCCTCTACTCCTGCATCATCGCCGGCCCCACCCGCTACCGCCTCAAGTCGTTCCTGTTCCCGTCGCTCACAATGCCCATTCCATGCGCACCCGGAGCAAAGCTGGTTTCGGCCGGCCCGTCGATCGTCTTAACCTCACTGCCTCACCCTCTCCCATCTCTCCCATCCCCACCTCCTACAAAGCCGCTCTTCTGGACCCACATTGGTTTCAGGCCATGAAGGATGAGTACGACGCACTCCTCCTCAACCACACCTGGACTCTCATCCCGCGCCCCCCGGAGCTAATGTTGTCTCCGGTAAATGGGTGTTTCACCACAAATTTCATTCGGATGGCTCACTCGCACGCTACAAAGCTCGCTGGGTCTATCGCGGTGACTCTCAAAAACCTGGCGTCGACTTTGACGAAACATTTTCGCCGGTTGTCAAGCCCAGCACCATCCGTGCCTCTTCAGTCTTGCCGTCTCCTTATCATGGCCTATCCATCAACTGGATGTTAAGAATGCATTTTTGCACGGATCCCTCAACGAGACTGTCTACTGTCGTCAACCCCTTGGCTTTTCTGATCCTTCCTTTCCCGACCACGTCTGCCACCTTCAAAAGTCCTTGTATGGCCTCAAACAGGCACCGCAGGCTTGGTTTCAGTGTTTTGCTTCTTACATTCAACGCCTAGGTTTTGCTCCCTCCCGCTCCGATTCGTCCCTCTTCATCTTCCACTCCTCCACACATACGTCTTACTTGCTCTTGTACGTTGACCATATTGTTCTCACAGCCTCCTCCACTACCTTTCTCAACCACATCATCGCCTCCCTACGCGCTGAGTTCTGCATGACAGATCTTGGCCCGCTTCATCACTTCCTCGGTGTTGCTGTCTCTAGGTCCTCTATGGGCCTCGTTCTTTCTCAGCGTCAGTACGCCATTGAGCTGCTTTCCAAAGCCGGTATGATCGACTGCCAGCCTACTCGCACACCTGCTGAGACCGGCGACAAGCTTTCTTCTGCTGGCGAACCCCTTCCTCACACCACTCTCTATCGTAGTATCACTGGCGCTCTCTAATACCTTACACTCACACGACATGATATCGCCTACGCTGTCCAGTAGGCCTGCTTGCACATGCATGACCTGCGCCTTCCACACATGACCCACGTCCAGCGCATTTTCCGTTACCTCAAGGGTACACTTGATCATGGCCTCGCCACTCGTCTCCTACCTCTCTCACCGCATACTCTAGTGTAGACTGGGCTGGATGTCCAGATACTCATCGTTCCACTTTGGGATACTGTGTTTACTTGGGTGATAATTTGATTTCATGGTCTTCGAAAAGGAAGCTCACTGTTTCCAGGTCGTCTGCAGATGCTGAGTATTGCTCGGTCGCACATGTTGTGGCTGAAACCATCTGGCTTCGGCAACTTCTCACTGAGCTTCATCGTCCAGTGCATCAGGCTACCATTGTGTACTGTGATAATGTATCAGCTGTGTACATGTCGTCTAATCCTGTTCAACACCGTAGAACTAAGCATATAGAGATTGACATACATTTTGTAAGAGAGAAGGTAGCTTTAAGGGAGGTTCGCGTTCTCCATGTCCCGACTACGGCGCAGTTCGCTGACATCTTCACCAAGGGGCTCCCGTCCGTGACCTTCCTCGACATACGCTCCATTCTCA